TCCCCATACCACCAGTACCCTGTACTCCCCATACCACCAGTACCCTGTACTCCCCATACCACCAGTACCCTGTACTCCCCATACCACCAGTACCCTGTACTCCCCATACCACCAGTACCCTGTACTCCCCATACCACCAGTACCCTGTACTCCCCATACCACCAGTACCCTGTACTCCCCATACCACCAGTACCCTGTACTCCCCATACCACCAGTACCCTGTACTCCCCATACCACCAGTACCCTGTACTCCCCATACCACCAGTACCCTGTACTCCCCATACCACCAGTACCCTGTACTCCCCATACCACCAGTACCCTGTACTCCCCATACCACCAGTACCCTGTACTCCCCATACCACCAGTACCCTGTACTCCCCATACCACCAGTACCCTGTACTCCCCATACCACCAGTACCCTGTACTCCCCATACCACCAGTACCCTGTACTCCCCATACCACCAGTACCCTGTACTCCCCATACCACCAGTACCCTGTACTCCCCATACCACCAGTACCCTGTACTCCCCATACCACCAGTACCCTGTACTCCCCATACCACCAGTACCCTGTACTCCCCATACCACCAGTACCCTGTACTCCCCATACCACCAGTACCCTGTACTCCCCATACCACCAGTACCCTGTACTCCCCATACCACCAGTACCCTGTACTCCCCATACCACCAGTACCCTGTACTCCCCATACCACCAGTACCCTGTACTCCCCATACCACCAGTACCCTGTACTCCCCATACCACCAGTACCCTGTACTCCCCATACCACCAGTACCCTGTACTCCCCATACCACCAGTACCCTGTACTCCCCATACCACCAGTACCCTGTACTCCCCATACCACCAGTACCCTGTACTCCCCATACCACCAGTACCCTGTACTCCCCATACCACCAGTACCCTGTACTCCCCATACCACCAGTACCCTGTACTCCCCATACCACCAGTACCCTGTACTCCCCATACCACCAGTACCCTGTACTCCCCATACCACCAGTACCCTGTACTCCCCATACCACCAGTACCCTGTACTCCCCATACCACCAGTACCCTGTACTCCCCATACCACCAGTACCCTGTACTCCCCATACCACCAGTACCCTGTACTCCCCATACCACCAGTACCCTGTACTCCCCATACCACCAGTACCCTGTACTCCCCATACCACCAGTACCCTGTACTCCCCATACCACCAGTACCCTGTACTCCCCATACCACCAGTACCCTGTACTCCCCATACCACCAGTACCCTGTACTCCCCATACCACCAGTACCCTGTACTCCCCATACCACCAGTACCCTGTACTCCCCATACCACCAGTACCCTGTACTCCCCATACCACCAGTACCCTGTACTCCCCATACCACCAGTACCCTGTACTCCCCATACCACCAGTACCCTGTACTCCCCATACCACCAGTACCCTGTACTCCCCATACCACCAGTACCCTGTACTCCCCATACCACCAGTACCCTGTACTCCCCATACCACCAGTACACTGTACTCCCCATACCACCAGTACCCTGTACTCCCCATACCACCAGTACTCTGTACTCCCCATACCACCAGTACCCTGTACTCCCCATACCACCAGTACCCTGCACTCCCCATACCACCAGTTCCCTGTACTCCCCATACCACCGCAACACTGTACTCCCCATACCACCAGTACTCTGTACTCCCCATACCACCAGTACCCTGTCCTCCCCATACCACCAGTACACTGTACTCCCGATCCCACCAGTACTCCATACTCCCCATACCACCAGGGCCCTGTACTCCCCATACCACCAGTACACTATACCACCAGTACCCTGTACTCCCCATACCAGCAGTACCCTGTACTCCCCATACCACCAGTCCCCTGCACTCCCCATACCACCAGTTCCCTGTACTCTGTACTCCCCATACCACCAGTACACTGTGCTCCCCATACCACCAGTACTCCATACTCCTCATACCACCATTTCCCTGTCCTCCCCATACCACCAGTACACTGTACTCCCGATCCCACCAGTACTCCATACTCCCCATACCACCAGGGCCCTGTACTCCCCATACCACCAGTACACTATACCACCAGTACCCTGTACTCCCCATACCTCCAGTACCCTGTACTCCCCATACCACCAGTCCCCTGCACTCCCCATACCACCAGTTCCCTGTACTCACTGTACTCCCCATACCACCAGTACACTGCACTCCCCATACCACCAGTTCCCTGTACTCACTGTACTCCCCATACCACCAGTACACTGTGCTCCCCATACCACCAGTACTCCATACTCCTCATACCACCATTTCCCTGTCCTCCCCATACCACCAGTACACTGTACTCCCCGTCCCACCAGTACCCTGTACTCCCCATACCACCGGTACTCTGTACTCCCCATACCACCAGTACACTGTGCTCCCCATACCACCAGTACTCCATACTCCCCGTACCACCAGTACCCTGTACTCCCCACACCACCAGTACTCTGTACTCCCCATACCACCAGCACACTGTACTCCCCATACCACCAGTACCCCGTACTCCCCATACCACCGCAACACTGTACTCCCCATACCAACCAGTATACTGTACTCCCCATACCACCAGTACACTGCACTCCCCATACCACCAGTTCCCTGTACTCTGTACTCCCCATACCACCAGTACTCTGTTCTCCCCATACCACCAGTACTCTGTACTCCCCATACCACCAGTACACTGTACTCCCCATACCACCAGTACTCCATACTCCTCATACCACCAGTTCCCTGTACTCCCCATACCACCAGTACACTGTACTCCCCGTACCACCAGTACCCTGTACTCCCCATACCACCAGTACACTGTACTCCCCATACCACCAGTACCCTGTACTCCAAATACCACCAGTAGCCGGTACTCCCCATACCACCAGTAGCCGGTACTCCCCATACCATCAGTACCCTGCACTCCCCATACCACCAGTACTCTATATTTTCCAACCACCAATAATTCCGAAATATCATCGGACTTTTTGCATTATTAGTTTTTTTTATATATGAGAACCAGTTTTGACCTGTTGTCATATATCTAGTTTACATTAAAGCGTCAATTAAGTAATTGTATGGTAAAAGGTGACTGGTATGAGATTTTTTTTTTTAAATACCTTCAACTTGTGATCAATGTAATGTTTGAAGCCTGACAACACATAGCTGCTACAGTAAATTACAGACTTAATAATTGAGTTTTAATTACAGTTTGCCCCAGACAATTAACCTGATATATGAATGATCTGCTCCCTCGCAAGTAGATTTACAGGCTGTAGGAAATCATTTCGTGAAAGTCTAGTTTCATCGATAGCAGGAAAAGGATTCAGGAATATGGGAAAAGTTTATTTCGGCCACATAATAGCGAAGCACGGGAAAAGTGGAAATCTAGGAGCATTCATTGAGTTCGATTTAACTTTATCTTTGATTGAAGTTTGGGTCGCGAACACTCAAAAATATGAAACAAAAGAACTTTGTGAATCTGTTATATGATGCATTGGGCTAGATACCGCATAGGAAACGGCTAGTCTGTCAACTAAAGTGTCCATGGAGCCACCTCTCCGAGAGGAGGACAAAGTGGTAGAACAGTGCAAGGGAGGCAACTCGCACTAGACAGACAACCTTTTTCGGGAATATGGAAACAGATTAAAAAAATAGTAGAAGTAAAGCGTTCCGTCACTCAATAACTGTTCAGCAAAAATGTCAATTAAGACACATATAATAAAACACTGAATAGATATCGAAAAAACGAAAGATGTACATTTACACAGTTTTGCCTTTTCATGTTTAGAATATATGACATTTTCAATCAGTGCTGTTGAGGATTTTTTCTTTAAAAAAGAAATGATATTAATTTTAACGATAAATAACAAACAATAGTGACCCTACAAATAGGGTCATTTATGAAAAGAAAAGTTAGTGTTGCTGTTTGACTTATTATTAATATGCAGACTTCCGTTATTCAAATATTGTTATCCATGTTGCTATTACTACACAGCAATAGAAATGGTGGTTATATTCCACACATCCGCAATCAAATACCAAGTTCACTTAGATTTCCTTCGTTGGGATGTTGCTATAGAATGCTGCATTTTTTAAAAAGCCTTTTTGAATTTTCACATTAAAGTTGTGAGGGAACTCACATATTGTTTAATTATTCTTCAAGCTGTTAATTGGTGGATATTCTTGAATATTGAAAAGTAAAACGTTCTAAAGTTTGATTGGAGAGTTAAAAAAGTATTGAACATAAAAGTCCGCTTTTCAGCGCGTTATTTTTGTACAATATACTAGTACAGTATAGTAACTATCATTGAGAAAGTTTTGCGAGGTATACACAGGACAGATATATGTGAGCTGGCGTTTTTTTCAGTCTTGGCATTGTATTTCATTAATCGATCCCAACCAATGTCTTGACGTCATCAAGTAAAAAGGTTGGGCAAGTATACCCACGTCCCCCTACGTCCCCCTATCTGTATGTTAATTAATGTTGATTAATTTTATGTCATTTTCAACATTGTAACGGAACTCATGTACTGTTTTCGCGCCTGAAGTATTAGCATTTCGAAGTTTTTAGATTTCATTATAGACAAAGTTCCCTTATTTGCTGCATCACGACATGTGCTTTGGAACATTTAAACACTTATTTTCATTCTTTGATCTATAGGGGCGTCATATGTTTTGCAAACTTTGACGTTGTTTTACTTCCTATTTTATTATTTTCAGGAACATTTTTCATTTTTTCGCCGCATGTTTTAAATATTTTATCTTCCTTTGCAATTTGAAGAACGTGCATTGTAAATCCCTGTCAACTGTACTTATTTTAACTGTGACCTATTTTCTCATTTCTATTGCAACTTCAACAACTTCTAAACAGAAATAATAGCAATATGGCTGAAGTATCATGCTATGATAAAATCCGGATTTCTTCACCGCTGACCATTTCTTTATTATACACTAAAACAAACATCCGGAGTAAAAGGACGTTTTGCTACCTCAGGTAGGATTAGTTTACGTTGATAATTTAGCTTTTAATCCCCGTTGTCATTGCAATATGTTTATATTTCTGAGCGCACATGATATATCTTAATGCGTTTATCTGTAAAAGAAATAAAATAGGTGATTTGTTATTCAATGCCAGCGGCCAGTAACATAAGTAACAGAGTAACGCAAAGTGACAGGTACATGTTGACTTTAATATCATTTAATATGATACATTATGGACGCAGGCTACAAGCCTCTATATCCATATCAGTACATACAACAAAGCCTCTATATCCATATCAGTACATACAACAAAATTTACATTAAATATACTTCAAGTGTCAATTGAACAATTTTTAAAACTATTTATTTTTTGGACATTGATTATAAGTTATTTGTTATCCAGGGGCGGACATAGATTTAATTCACGGGGGTGGGGGTCACCACCATTTCAGATTTTCAGTTAGCCATTCATTGGATCAAATGCTTATAATTAGCATGCAAGTTTAATATGCTAACGTCGATTTACTGACATAGCAGAGGTACTGGTCTCGTCTGTCAATACACCTATGATATTATGAAGGATAGTAAGGTTGTGTTGACAGAGAAGGCTAGTACCTGTAGACTAACCTTTGTCACAATGATTTTTGATTGTAAAGCATTCAAATGTGATGACAATGGTCCTTCTTGCACGTGCAATATTACTCATATGCTCAATGTATTCACGGCGCAGGTGGGGAATTGTTACCCATATGCGCCACTATTACCCATACATATACGGGCCCCTGGGTTGTGCCCAACCACTGTTGCAAACGTAACACCTATCCCCTGTGGCTACTACGGACCAGTGACCATACAGGTAAAAAGTCTTTATCATGGTTCTCTGACCTTCATGTATTTAATTGATGCTTGGGCTGTGATATCAATTAGTGTCAACACCGAGTTTAACCTGTTGGAGAGGGAAGGGATGGTGGGATGTTCTCGTTTCCCCCACTTTTTATATAACAAAGGAAAATGTTGATTTAGGAAGACAATGGCAAACCAATTATAGTCTGTTTCATAGTGTGTGGTTTGGACAGTGTAATACACAACTAGAACCACCAGTCAAGAATTAAAAAAAACATTGTTTATTCAATTCACACGATAGATGCAGTGTATGCGCACTAACAAAGCTTATATACACGTGCGCTGGTGACACCCCCTTTGATCCGCCTCTGTTATGTTCCATGCAATGTCAACAAGGCACAGTACTAGTGTTTATTTTCTACCTTTAATTGCAATTTAAAAGTACTCAGAGCTGTTTAGAATCTGTGTATATCATTACATGTTAAGATGATAAATAAATCTGATATTAATAATAAATAATAATATACAACATTTGATATAGCGCCCTATCTTGCTAACATAAGCCACTCTTAAGTGCTTTACAGTACATAGATATCCAATTTATACAATTAGCATATACATTAATAAATACAATTTTGGGGGAATTTGCAGGAGCTGCCTTATCAGGCGATAACTACTAGCCCTATGCCACCTGGGTAATATCTCTCCATGTGTGTATGCCTGCGTGTGTGCTGGAGATGTAATGTGTTCTGTTTGTATTGGGACCGTGCTTCCAAAGGCAACCTTTATAGTACCCCCTCACTTGAATGCTACAGCAAAGATACCGCAACATCCACCCCAGACCAGTTTATACTCCACCTGGATTGTTGGAGTTGTGTGGGAAGGAGAAAAACATGCGTACAACGACTTCTGGGATCGAACTCCGAAAGCCGAAGTGTTAACCACTCGACCAATCCGGCTGTAATAATAATAGTGTAGGATAGGAGAGACATTTGTAACGAACCCTTGTGGCCAGACCGGGATTTGTACCCGGAACCCTCCGAAATCTAGACAGATGTGCTACCAGTTGAACTACCTGGTCGCCGATCCAGTTTAGTTCTGCTACTTTCCTTCTCCTTTTTTGCCTTTTGTCAGATGATCTATATATAGCTATAAAGACTGACTGACTACACTGAAGCAGGATAGCTATTTCTCCCACCCTTCACAGGCGTGTCTCCCGTTTAAACCGGGAAAGATTGTCACCCCCTAGGGGGAGATAGCCTCATGCCGATTAGCACGTGTTCAATTGTGACTTCATTAAAATGTGTCATCAGTAATTGTGACGTCATCAAAAGTGAATGACGATATGAATACCCCACTTGTGTTTTTGATAACAAACATGTCAGACTACTATCAGTGGAGTTGTGACTGAAATAATAGGATGGGAGAAAAAAAATCATCCCCTATCTTGAGGGTGTAACAGAGAAATATCCAACCCTCGGGAGAGCCTCAGGTAAGACAACCAAAAAACATCACCCCTCGGGTTGGAGATTTCTCTATCACACCCTCAAGGTAGGGGAAGATTCTATTAATCCAGCTATGATTCATAGCAGTATTGAGCTATTTTTGTAAGATTTCAGTTTTGTTAACAAGGGTTGGTCACAAGCACTAAATGTAACAGGAGAGTGAAATTCACGGAAAGACTGGAACTTTTCTAAAATATATTGTACTGTACATGTACCATCAGGGATTGGAACTAAACAATGAAACCATTCAGAGGCGGCGTATCCCACATGTGATTGTCGTAGGGCAACTTTAACATTCTGTACATCATTTACATTCGTAGAAATAAACAAGTATAGTTGATTGGTTTTAACAAATGTTTTGACAGGTTGTTTAATTACATGTATAACAATTATCTTTACTCTAAAACATTTACTTGTATATCAATATGACATGTTGTTCTTTTTGTAGGATACAGAGGACAATGAACAGAGTTATCTTTCCTTTAAGGAGGACAGCAGTAAGATGTGCCACACGGTCAAAATTAAACTTTGGACCACAACCTCTCACAACTGCTAACAGTAGATCAATATCTATACAACCGCTCCATTCATCAAGCATCTGTAAAAATGTACGAAACATCCATGTCGGCTCTGTATACAGACATACAGTTACCGAGGGAAACACCGCTCCCGTAACAGGAAGTAGATCAGACAGTGTCATCGTCAGCAATGACCGGATTTCTTTGAAATATGGCGAGTTTGATATGGATCTACTGTTTGTGTGGCTGCGAGATCACTGTCGTTGTAGCGACTGCTATAACCACGACACCAACCAAAGAAATCTACAAGACAGGAAGTTGAATTTTGAGGACTCGCCGTCCCGTGTTGAATTTGACGGCCTGGTCCTAGGTATCTCTTGTAAGTGAGATTGAAAAATTAGATATACCTTACCTTATTTTGGCTAATGTCATGTTTTCTTTGACACTATTTACTTTGAAATTGTACAGTATATAATTTAGTTTGTTTTATGTCATCTTAGTCAACATAAACTCCGGTTAATATCATGTTATATATGCCAGTTTCTAAACATAGGTTTTTAAAATTTAACTAAGAAAGCTATATTTCATATTTCAATTAATATCATATTTCACTATATTTTTTATTTCATAAATGACGATATCAAAAGAAACACGTTTCAAAAAAAATAGTACATACTTCATTGTTCATGTAATATATGTTATATCAAAGCAATATTTATCTGACCCCACAATCAAAGGTCAAGGTAATGACATGCTGACCACACATGACGTACACGACATTCCGGTCAAAGGGACACCTCACCCTGACCATGCAAACATATAGGTCAAGGTGACACGACAGTCTGACCATATACAGTAAGTACAGGTCAAGGTGACCAGCCATTCTGACTAAATGCTTACAGGTCAATCAAAAATTGTAGTGACATAATTCTGACCTTATAATCAAAGGTCAAGGTGACACATCATTTTGACCTTCCAATCAAATGTCAAGTTGACATGTTATTCTGAACATAAAATCAAAGGTCAAGATGACACCTCAATCTGACCAATCAAAGGTCAAGGTTACATGGCATAAGTTCTACAGTACATGTATATCATTTGTTGATAGGGCCAGATGGTCATGTGACGTCGTATGATATCAACTGGTTGGTGGACAACGCCTACCACAGTCAGCACACAGATCAGGTAGACAAGGTACCGTGGGACAAAGAGACCATCGAGAGTGCAGGACTTCCCACTGTACACTTCCACGAGTACATGGACTCCGACGAAGGGCTTCGCAAACATTTGCACAATCTGGTCAAGTTTGGTTTTTCAATTGTCACAGAGGTAAGAACATTGTTTGGATTCTTCTGGTGTAAAATGAAAATAAAAGATAAATTTGGCAATTATTATGAATAATAGTAGTTTTGGTAAATATGAATCACAATAAAGAAAGTGACATAAGGATGCGAACAAGAGGATGATTACAGTAACACACTAATCACTTACACAATAATGTTTGTGATGTGAAATAGAGCATGATTACAGATCTAGATTAAACACTGATGTTTTCCTCTTTGTGACATTAGACTGTGAAATAGACACTAATGTTTCCCTCTATCCACTAATGTTTTCCTCTATGTGATAATAGGATATATGAGATAGCCACTAATGTTTCCCTCTATCCACTAATGTTTCCCTCTATGTGATAATAGGATATATGAGATAGCCACTTATGTTCCCCTCTATGTGACATTAGGTTATGAGACAGACACTTATAGATAGAATCTTTCCCTGTACGTAACATTAGAATGTCAGATCGGGGATGATAAGTTGATAACAATAAGGCACTAACATTTCCCTCTATTTGCAGGCACCACCGGTCCACCATATGGGGACTCTGGAGGTTGCCACTAGAATATGCTTTAAACAGGAGACACATTTTGGACCAGACTGGACATTTACCTCAAACAACGAGAGGGGAGATACTGCGTACAGCGACCTCTACCTCGGAGCTCATACTGACAACACGTACTTCACCAACCCTAGTGGGTAAGGCATGGATTAGACCAAAACTGAATGTCACATCATGATTTCTTGTTAATGTACCAGTGTCAGAATGTTAGCTCATCTTTTCAAATATTAAGGACACTGGTGGTTACCATGTTGACATTTTTGGTGGTCACCCAGCATTGGCATTGCCTGGTTCACCCTTTCACCCCTAGGTAACTTGAGTAGACTCAACCATACATTCATCTGGATGAGTCCATTATAGTTTACAGTGGTGAAAGGGTTAAAGGGATTTTATAATGTAAGTGTTAACATTTGTTAGGACCCTGCAGTAGAGATGCAGATGTTTTATTCTAATCTGTCTGTCCATATCTATATTTTTCTTTAAGTGATCTCTGAATCCAGAAATCCGAAATGCCACATAATGAGTTCACTATGACATGTAGATGTGCATCTGAGGATTAAAAAGTTGTGTTACCCTTTCTGGCTGACCAGTGTTTTTTAAAAACTTTTTTATATGTGTTTAATAGTATCCTAGTACTTAATGTGATTTTTTATGAATAGCACCATATCATCAGGATCTCCAAATCCAAGATGGCCACTAAATAAGGTCACTGTGACTTAAGATAAAACCGGAGTGATATACTGTCAAAAGTACATTGTACGGCCCTTTCTAACCTGTCAGTGTTCCATTGTATGGCCCTTTCTAACCTGTCACTGTTCCATTGTATGGCCCTTTCTTACCTGTCAGTGTTCCATTGTACGGCCCTTTCTTACCTGTCAGTGTTCCATTGTACGGCCCTTTCTAACCTGTCAGTGTTCCACTGTATGGCCCTTTCTAACCTGTCAGTGTTGCATTGTACGGCCCTTTCTAACCTGTCAGTGTTCCACTGTATGGCCCTTTCTAACCTGTCAGTGTTGCATTGTACGGCCCTTTCTAACCTGTCAGTGTTCCACTGTATGGCCCTTTCTAACCTGTCAGTGTTGCATTGTACGGCCCTTTCTAACCTGTCAGTGTTCCATTATATGGCCCTTTCTAACCTGTCAGTGTTGCATTGTACGGCCCTTTCTAACCTGTCAGTGTTCCATTGTATGGCCCTTTCTAACCTGTCAGTGTTCCATTTTATCAGCAACTGGCAAAATTGTAACTGTGGGACGAGCGATGCAGCCTTATCCGGCACTTGGTTGATATGCTATGCTAATAACAACATATCACCTTGATCCAAAATACGATATGGCCACTGTTATTCTCTTCTTAGTTGCTGAGACATATACGACTATACTTAGACTAAGCTTCTATTTGTACAATTGGGTTCATACTTTATGGTAAATGGTACGTAATTGATATGCTACATAGTAATTTAGGTTATCAAGAACGCATAATCCAAGATGGCCATCAAATTGGCCGTTTGACTGTAAAGTTTTCTGTTTGTATAGCAGGGTTAATGCTGTTTTCAGTATTTTTCATTGTAAGTCATAAGATCACTTGAAATAAACCAGAAATAACCCTCTTTAATATTCAAGTCGGTGCCGTAGAGTATGTGTCATTTTAACTTGTGACTAGTGTACCAAAATTAATTATCTGTCCCGAATTTTCCTTGGGGTCGTTAAAATTCTTGCAAAAGAATCGCAGAGTATTTTTCTTCCAATATATCCTGGGTCCCTATGTGGGTTCCAATTTCACAGAGCTAATTTTTTCATTACCTCTGCTTGGAGTCAAATGCAGGACTTAAGGTTTACTAGTTTCGCCCTCTATGGAATGAGCTAAAGAAAAAATCCATGGCTGAATCGGTAGGAAGCGATCGACTTGTATTTTACCAGAGTGACAAATAGGTTCAAGTTATCTAAACATTGTGTATCTGAATTTATCACGTAATATGACTTTAAATTAAAACTTTTTGTAACGGTAAAAGAGAAAGTGTAATCAGGAATTATTACGCAAAATTTTGTCTGGGCATTGCTGCGAGAATATTTCAAAATATTTCTGAAAACCCTAGATTTTTTTTTACGATAAACGGTCATGACCCAGGACTGGTTTTGGATTGTTCCAGTGAAACAGTGCACACCCCTTTCTTGATATTGTCATTTTCCCCTAAAAAGTGTGCACTATATATAGTATACGCGACTATATTCAGTAAGTCAGTTGTATACTTTTTCTCTAGGATACAGGTGTTTCATGTTCTGGAGCATGAGGGAGAAGGGGGTCAGACACTCCTGGTAGACGGACAACATTGTGCAGAAAAGCTACGATCTAAATATCCCGAGGACTTTGATCTTCTGACAAAGACCGTTATTCCACATGAATACTATGAAGAGAAGCTACGCGTACGAAGTCTTGGTACTGTCCTCTCTGTCCACCCAGCTACTGGACAGTTTTTACAGATAAGGTCAGTTTTACTGTTAATAAAGCAATCCTACACCACTACATATAAACGTATATTATATCTAGTGACAGCAAGGTGTATAGCATCTACACATGAGTGACTGCCCTTGAGTCACTCTCCCATTCACAGGGTTAGACACTATTACTGTGTTTGCTTGGTAGTACACAGAACTAGTAGAATAGATTATTTACTAGTCCTTCGTCAATGTAACTAGTCCAAGATTTCCTGATAAGAAACATCACGATCTACTGCACGAAACATCAAAAGTAATCGACTGTAGGGGACTTAAAATAACTACTGCCATAAAAATATGGTGAAGTTTTAGGAAAATTTTGACAATTATCATGCAATATATCTTATTTTAAGCAGTTTTCTTATTTTTAAAAAGGAATATTCTTATTTTATAATTCACAAGTCCAAAGAACCAGTTAGGTTAGGTGATTCACTAGTCC